ATCCCCGCACTAAATGGCATTTACCCCCAGCATAGGGTATGAAATCGAGATTGAGTGTAGTCCAATACTCCTTGACAGAGGATATGAACTCTTCCAAAGCTAGTTCTCCAGCTGCCTCCGACATGAGACCACGTAACTCCTTCTCTCGCTCCTTGAGACCAGTACTATCCCAAAGCTGTCCCAATAAGAGGCCATTGACACCATTGTGGATCGTACCAAGTGACAAGATGCCCAGAATCTGCTTCCAGTGGCGATCCTTCAATGCCTCAGACTTGAGATCAGCAATGATTGGATGGAGGGCCAAGGCAGCTTCCACTCGACTGCGTAGATCATCATAAGCATCGTATTGACGTAACGCATCAGGTAGTTGACTGAGCTCTTCGACAAGTTGCTCCAATGAAGTCTTCACTTTCTTTGCAACTACAGCTGGCCATGGAGTATCAGCAATATCAGACAGCTTCTGATGCACTCCTCCAAGGCCTTCCCACACAGCTCTCAGGTTAGATACATCTTCCCGCAGGGGATCTAGGCGACGCTCATTGCTGCAGTCTAAATCCAACACCTTCTTAGCCTTTATGACCTGACATAAGATATCATTGAATATAGAACTTGTAGAGTGGTTGGCATTCATTACCTGTGCCAGGTCAGCTTGCAGCTTCATCAACCTGGTATCGAATAGCGATATATTATGTAATGCTCTGAGAAGGAGAGTATACACTGCAATAGACTACAGAGTTACTATTACTTGGTGGGTGACTCGTTAGGTTGAGTCGTCTGGTCGGCCCTCATAGCCCCCCATTCCTCATAGAGGCTGTTTATCTGTTCCATTACCTTCGTATCATGAGATGCTATCATATGCTCGACTTTATCCTTGCTCTCCTCCAGGAGCTTAATACGTCGGCTGAGGACCTAGACGTCATTGCTAATAGTAATAGTGTACATGGGCAAGTACTTGTTCTAAGGCTGTCCACTCTCCTTCCACTCTATCAGTCCATATCCAATCACGTGGGAAAGCATATCTCTGCCTCTCTAGTAGCTTCTCCCCTGCTCGTAGGGACGCCACCCTCTGGGCCCAGGCCTTTCCAGCACTTCCTTGGGCTTCCCTCACACAAGTGACAAATTCAGCTATCTAAAAGTGGTACGAGCCTCCGGGCGATGACAATATGCCTCAAACTGACCTCTCGACAGCTTGTAACGGCTAAGGTCTGCCGTTCGAGTGAGCCTCTAGACTTCTCTAGCTGGGATAGCATAGACCTAGTTTGATCAGCCATTTGCATTGCGAATGCCTGCAGCACTTCCCTCTGCCACTGGTCATACTTATGGAGTACCTGTTCCTGTATTGGACTAAAGTCAATCGCTATTGGACCGAAGGTCTCAGTATCCCTAGCAGCATCGACACCGGCCCTAGCGACCCTGATATCGGTCAAGAGTTGTTGCCATGCCTCAATATCGTCCCCTAGCTCGTTGAATAGTGCGGAAGGCTCCGCCCTCCATAGAGCTTCATACTTCTGCCAATCATGAACATAAGTAGCCATACGAGCCATGGTAGAGTCAATGATCTCATAAGCTTGGCTTAAAGCCTGGTCATCTGGATGGGTGTTGACCAAATTCATGAACGATGAACAAGTTCCTCTTCCTCCATTGTCTATAGCATTCTTCTTAGCAGATACCGTAACATTATCATAACGTCCAGACCGAATCCTAGGGAAGTGGCATAGCTTGGCTAGAAGGATTGAAAGCTTCTCCATGAGCCCGGCCCTTACCTCCTCAATGCTTGGCTTGAGTACAAGACGCGTATTAGACCCTTCTTGGAGCATGAGCAGCTCGTGTACGGAAATACTATTCTCAGGTATAACTCTGGTACCATTATGAGGCCAATCCTCGAACTCATCGACCCATATACCCACAACTGCAGAGAGCTCCATGCGTAGTCTAGCTTCTAGTCTAGCGTTGAGCTCAGATACGTAAAGGCGAAGATTGGAGCATCCAGCTAGATTGAGATCATCAACTATCTTCTGTACTTTACCAAAGATGGCCAGAACCTCATCCACATAGTTATGCATAGTCTCATGCTCATGCTGTTGTTGTTGGTCACGTCCTCCAGTAATAAGGGTAGAATTGGCTGTTATATAAAGGTCATCAGCGTTCGACTGGTATGCTGGGCCATCGATCATGTGGGTACAGGGTAGTTGGTCATCCACCAGATCATCAATACGATTCACCATACGTAGGACCTCAGTCCAACGATCTTGGAATGAGAATACCAAGTCACTCACATCTGCTGTATAGGAGTACACACCTTCGATATCATCCCAACCAACATCATACGCTGATGCTAGAGCATGTTGAACCTTAGCATGATAAGCAGCGAGCAGGGAGGCTACTTGAGGTTGCTGAGAGAGCTTAGTCCCTAGAGACATGTAGGTCTCGGCACACTCCCTTAAGGTTATCGAAAGAGGATAGATCTTCCTTATCTCCTCACCTTTCACCTTCACAGCAAATGGTATCTGGAAATGTAGGCTCTCCAAGTAAGCAATTTCTTGGCAGAGATCAAGGATATCAGCATCAAAGTTCATGTGTAGAGCTAATGATCCATTCCTAGCCTTATGAATGGCCAATACTCGGGCACCCCAGTCTATAGATACACTTCTAGCTTGCTTAACCCAGCTCTCGAATAGACGACTGGTGTCTAGCTTCTTGGCAAAGAAGTCACACTCCTCTTTGATCCTCTGACCATCGATATGCTTATCCCAAGTAGGGCCTAGAACTGAAGCCACTTGGTTGATGAGTGTAGTAAGCCTTCGACTGATCTGCTTAGCCCACATAATCTTAGCACTTAGAGCAGGTATCCCTCTCTGAAGGAGCATGGTCTCGGTACCAGATCCCTCAAAGCCCTTCTTGAATGCCTCCTGTAGATCAAATATGTCCACTTTAACCTTACTCAATAGTGAGTTCTGATATTCCAATACAGCACTCCTAATACGGAGTCTGAAGAAGAGAGGGTTGAACTTGGCGAAAGCCCGGAACATATCCTTGGTAGTAGCAGCATTGCCAAGGGTATCCCTCATGTTAGCTATGATCAAGCTCTCGGCCCTGTTGATGAGATCAGCATACTCCTGTTTAGCACGTTCCCAAGCATTAATACCAGTAGGTGTAGTATCCACAACATCAACAACCAAGACCTTATCATAAGCAGCCACTACTGTAT